CTTTTGGAAAGTGTCTTGAAGAGTTTCAGCGGTAGATTCTGAAGAAGGTACTTCGTCGCAGTTGACATATTTTGGAGAGTTTGAGATTTAAACGGCGTTTGGAAAGTATATTGAAAGGTGGTTGAAAATCGCGAAAGAATTATTTGACACTGCGATCCGCTGCGCAGCCACTGCCATCTTCAAATAAATTAGCTGACGTCATCAAATTCAGCAGGGCCTTAATAGAGCATTGGATGCGCGAAGAATCTTAACTCGACTCTCGCGAAGCCTCCAGAAGAATAATAACAAGAATATCAAGCTGAGGCCAGAGGTCTTCCGAGGCCGAATAAATCATAAAAAACTCGTACAAAATTACCTTGTTTTTTCTAAACTGAATCCGCATTAAAGAATTACGTCATTAAACCTATTAATAGGTTTCCCATTAATTCCTAGTGTTACGTGAAGCCGGGAGGTCAACGCAAACACGAAACTCAAGAAAGCAGTTATAAAGTTGCGATAGAAACTCGGTAAATCTATCAGTAGGTTACAGTGAATGTTAATGGACACTGAAAAATCACCGTAGTTCGCCTTCACAACAAGTTTCGATTTCTTCGAGCGGTTGTAATCGGTTTTGTTCAGTTTCTAATTACATTTCATCGAACTAGCGTGGGTGAGAGGGACCAAGGATGAAAAATCGATCGAAAAATTGATAAATTAATGTTGTAAGCAACGAACTTCGATCTTTTAGGAAGCTTGATAAATCAAAGTGAATATTGAAGTCGTAAATCACGAGATTAAAGTCGATAATTAGAGAAGTAGAGAATAATTTCTATAAAGGAAAATCAGTTTACGGAGAAGTAAACTCTCGTAAACTAGTAAGTTCTTGTCGATAACTAAAAGATCAAAGAGCAATCTCAGCGAAGGTGCTTCATTAATCCAAGTGACAGTTGGGTCGAGACAACGAAACGTGACCGACCGGTAGTGTATTACAATCTAGACGTCCAAGAACCACGTGCCATTCGTGCTCAGGTGAAATAACACGATAACGCATTGGGGACCCGGCGCTGCACGTTCCCGGAAACTGTTGCTCGTTAATGCTACGCTGATTGGGCAATTCAACCGTTCGTTCCAGTATTACCGCCGTCGCTTGGTTCGTACGACCAGCCGCTAGAAATTGGCGGGAAAACCTCTTACCGCGATCGAACACGACGATCAAACGACGATCAAAACGGATCAGTGCGTGTGTCGAGTAATCAACATCCATTGAACTGTTGCGTGTGGTTTATAGAATCTGTAATACAGAATAGTCGTTGTTTCCTTCGAGTTTCTTCTTTCTCGTCGACAAACAGAGAATTGTTGAATCGTTGGAAATAGGGAGAGATAGATTGAAAACAATTTTGCGTGTGCCGAATAATAAACATCGATCGAATCATTAGATGCAGTCTTGAGAGTCTGCGAAATTGAACAAAAAACTGTTGTTTTTTTAATTTTCGTCTTAATCATTGAGAAAAAGAGGATTATTGGGGAGCCATTGAAAGAAAGAAGGTGATTAAAAGTAATTTTGCGAAAGGGGATATTGAGCCGACATGGTGCAAGGAAAAGCGGGCGTTTTTCCGGTTAATTAGCTGACTGCGTGATGAATTGTGCGTTGCTCTGCGGAAGTCAGTGTTCATTTTTCCATCCGTGACGCAGTTATTGCGTTGCGCGCGCCGGGCAGCCCGCGAAAGGAAGATCGAGGTGAATGAGGCGGACGTTCGGTGGATCGAGAGTGAAAACCGTGCCGCAATGTTGGCGGTCGTGTCGAGCATCATCTCCACTTTGTTGCTGGAGGGCGAAAAGGTGGTCACGGCACAGGAGAAGTACAACATGGCGACGTTCATGGTTCTGTTCCTATTGATCACCATTGAGGTGGTAGTCGTCAAAGTGGTTACGTCCGACATGGAGAGGGACGAGGACAGCCACTCCGGTCTGAGGGCTGCTGCAACTTTCTTCGACCGCGAGGATTGATCCTGGATCGTCTTCATCATTGGTGTTACAGCTAGCTGTGTTTTTGTAGTTCGTTTCATGAAAGGACTTTTAAATATTCGCGAAGTCAATTAGATTTTCATTCAATTTTTATTTAAGATTTGGTCATGGATGTTGAATTTTTCAAAGAGTGATATGTAGTTTTAATTATTCTGTGTTACATAATAATCCTTTGAATAGGAGAATTGATCCTAGATTGTTCTGTATTGGAGTTTAAACTAGCTGTGTTTTTGTCATTCGTTTCGTCAAAAAACTTTTAAATATTTGCGAAATTATTTAGATTTTGTTTAATTTCCATTTAAGATTTTGACGTGAATTTTTAATTTTTCGAAGAGTAATATGAATTCTTCATTATTCTGTGTTATATAATAACTCTTTTACTAAGAAGAATCGTCCTGGATCGTTGTATTCGCATGCGAACTAGCTATGTTCTATATATTTTTGTATTTTGTTTCGTGTAAGAACTTATAATTGTTGGAAAAAATTCTAAACTAGCGTCTATTCGACTATGCTCTTTCTGTAAAAGGATTAACATTTTCTTATGGTATAAAAGAATACGTGAATTATTCTAAATTTCGCTTAACTGCTGTTTACATGATCGTTTCAGATTAAAAACATCTGGTCCTTTCAAATGAACCTAAATTTTATTCAAATTCACTTGCACGAATTCGAGATCGAGATCGAGATCGAACTCGAGCAGACCGAAATTCTTTTCAATGCTAACGTTTCCGAAGCGTGACGAGAGAATGAAAGTGAAATACGTTTCGGCTCGCAAAATAAGGGATACCGACACGTGTAATTGCTCCGCTTGGAATAATTAAAGGCTCGCTGCGTTGAAACACTTAGGTAACACCGCGAGCAAAGTCAATCGAGTCGAACAAACACCTCAACATGTTACGTCTCTAATTATTAAATGATCAAACGTGACGCAGCATTTTTTATGAATCATTTTGGGCTGCAAAAATTAGAATTTCACAAACTTATAAAAAATAATTTTACACACGTTCTTAAAAGAAAAGAACAGAACGCTTTCTAAACGTTTGAATTTCAATTTTTTCTAATTAAGCAAATATGTTTGAATAATTGATTGTGCGTAATATTACACATATTTATTTTCAATAAAATATCAATTTCATCGAGAAATCTCCCTATTTGTTGCCAAAAGTGTTCCATAAAGAGGGATTCGTTTATATGTCGATGTTTTTAGTTTTCTAAGAATAAACCGACGTGATCCAATTAATCGAAAGTGAGAATCGATCCAGCGTGACTCGAGAATACGCAACAATGCTATCTGACATGGATGTGTACCGTGAAACGCGTGGAATGGCGAGGAAAGCAGGCCGAAACGCACGCAAAGCGTGCACAAGACAGTAGGAAACATCGAGGAGAAAACGGATCTCGTCTTTCTGGTTCTCGGTTTACGATCGTGCTCGGTGCCGCGGAGCTACTAAACGCGTAATCCGTCGGGCCCGCATGAATAATTAATCGGCGAGCGAAACCGGGAACAATGAACAAAAGTCGACGTGTCAAGGATGATAGTTGGAGGCGGCGTTTCGCAAGTGCAGCGGAAGTAAAGGGTGTCGTTGACGCTCGCGCGAGCGAATTGATCGCGCCGTATCATTTTGATCCTTGGAACATTTCATTTAAATCATTTCAAACAAGGAAACGTAAAGATCATTGAATTCGAATTACGTTTGAAGCAGTTAATATTAAGCTTTAACATTGAGTTTGACAGTCAATGGAATCACGATTAGAAAATATTCGAAGCAATTGTCCTTTCGGGTTTCTGCAGAAATTGATGCAAAATGACTTTCGTTCGTTCCATTCTCGCCAATAATCTTCGATTATAAATACACAAATCGATTTGAAATCAAATTTTGAACACCGTATATTATTTCCAGCTACTTTCCTTTGGGTCCAATGATTTTCTCGTTTGAAGATGGAAAAGAAATGAAATATAAGTTGAAGATTACACTTTTATTTTTATAAAATGCTTCAATGTTATGTGGTTAACTATTGAAATAAGAATGGACAAACGAGAAATCTTGCAAGCGACCTTAAGAAAGTATTGATGTTACATTGAATGTATATGATTGCTTAGTGCTTGAATTCGATGGATTACCGGCTGAGCATGAAAACGCATCTTCTTGATAGAAGCGCGTTTCGTAATCGAGCGGTCCAGGAAAGTTGGCTAGATTTGATACAAGAAAGCATTTCGAAAGTGTATTTATTTAAACCCGTTATTGCGCAACGCAGCCACGTTGCACGGCTCGCGGTTACAGGCAGAAGTTGTAACGCGTGTAGCTTAACCGTTTCAGTTTCGATACGGGACGCGACTGCGCGGCGTTGCGTACTATGCAATTAACCTGCTAGCTGTGTTGCCCTATTTTAAAATCGTGTACCCGAATTATGACGCAATAATGAAAAGACGAAGAACATGTTCGTCGAATGCAGGCTGTACCGCTGCTGTTGAATTGGATAAAATTGTAACGAAATGATATACTGTGTTTTGCTCTTACGAAATCAATTGTTTTTTTATTTGAACTTGTTGACAGTGAATGGTAATTACACACGACGTCTAATGACGTCTATGCTTAATGTAAGATAAAAACATTATTATTGTTTCCTCGCGATGAGTTCAGTCGTCGCACACAGCTGACGGGATAACGAATTTTGTGGATTTTTGTAAATATTTGGAAAATTAGAGAAACTGTGGCTTTAAGATGATTTATTAATAAAATTCATTTATTCGATCGTTGTGTTTCTTCCTTCACATTGTGTTCCTTAATTATCCTCGCCGCGTAATGGAATCAATAATTTTCAAAATACAATTTACAACTATAAATGTTCAATGAAAGAAAATAAAACACGATTACTTAACACTAATGAGTAGACACCGTAGTCGTCTATGAATGATTCATAAGGACGCATGAGTCACGCTTACCTCCCAATCACAGTGTCATCGCCGCCACAGTGCATTGTATCCCACATTGCAGAAAGTCCGGGAGCTCGAAGGAGGAGAGGCAGCGGATCCCAGTCGATGAAAATCGTTGCGCCTGCTGTCTGAAGCCGTTCATCCTCGTCCGCGGTGTCCGTTGCGGCGATTGCTTCGCGAGATCCTGCAGGAGCGGCTGTTGTCGTTGGGACTCGACCGACAAATCCTGGCGTTGCATCTTCTGTCGCCAGCACAGGTTCATCATTAACTGTATCACTAATTAACACGTGGATCGGCGGATCAATAACATTTTAACGATAATTCTCTCACCGGATTCGAAAACGAATGTTTACGATAATTTACTAGATGAACCAAATCGAGATCTATTGGTTTACATTCGATTTTATACGGATTTTCGTTTAATTAGTGAATTAAGTTACAACTGCACATATTACAATTTTAAATGATCGAAAATTCATTATTTATGAAGTCTATCACCTGTATGATCATTAATTTGCTGAAAAAGAAAAAAACTCATTCGTTATGAATCCACATGTTTCACATGAATCCATATGTTCATCTCGAAAATTTAACATGTTAATAGAAGAGATTACGTTTGATTTCGATTTAAATTACACGACAGTGCATCTGAATCAGTTTAAATCATCTCTCGGTGAAGTCGTTTCAATATTACAGAACCAGACGAATCGGACATCAAATGTCTTTTAGAATTTGTGAGATCGAGGCCTCCATGTTCGCGTACGTCTATGTATTTTACTGATTCTACAAGTTAGTCATGGCTAGGCCGCGGTTCCGGTTCGACTAATTTTGATATTAACGAAATATAGGCAATGAACTCCCAGTAATGACTTACCGAATAATAATCCACGCGTAACTGTACACTAAAACGTTACTTAATTATCGCCAGAAAATATTCTAACGGTTCTTTAATGAGAAATACTTTGCCAGGCACTGGTTAAATAAAACCGGGCTCACGGCTGACAGCGGACCGATCGACGAGAGGGATCTACACCGATACTTCAATACGGCCAAATCACGGGTCTACGTTGCAGGTTTGTGTCGAGATATCTTTACACGATTTTGTCTCGCGTTCTATTTTCCGATCGGTACTCCCGCGGACTCGCGACTCATTAACGATGGCAAAACAGTCGTCGCTAATTGTCATGCTTCTTCCATTAGTGGTTTACCATTCCCGTATTAATGGAGCATTTAGTAGGAAAGGCTTACGTCTAACCTGTCATGACGTGAGAGGTAAGAAGTAAGACTCAATCGAATAATGAAAGAGCAGATACATAAAATGTCCCAGATTCTCTCTGCAAAACGGTGCTACGTTAGTCTTAAGATAAGAGTAATTCGTGGAATAGTTTATAAAGAATTTAGTATTTTAAAGAATGCAGTTGCCTCGGTTAACGAGTCAACGAAAGAAATAGAGACCTTGAAAAATTTGAAATTTCTGTCTCTTAACGTATTCGACGAATACTGGCATATTAGAATCTTTTTGGTAATCTTCATTTAATAGTGAGTGGACAATAATAATCAATAAAGTAGGCAACCATTATTAATGTAATTGCAGTACGTAAGTCTCATAAATTCTCGGGTCGACTCTACCAACAGATTGAACCACTTCGTTTAACATTAAATTCGTAAGCTTTTAATATACAATTTATTGTTTCTCGAAAACTGAATCTTTGTTTGTACAACATATAAACAGAAAGTACAGCGTCACAGCCAGAGGATTAAGATGTATACCTATTCCTGTAATTGCATTACTCACAATTAACGTAAACTTTAACGTAATGACGTTTACAAAAAAGAACATCGAATTAACGTCGAGTTAACGACGAGTAAGGCACAGGATCGTTCGAACAAAGGAAAAAATGGTAGGTGGATAGTTTGCGGGATCGAAGCAGCAGCGAGGGGACGAAAATATCCGTCGCGCCGTGGAAATCAATCGAGAGCGGCGGCGATCCGCGATCCCTTATAAATAATGCAGCCTCGAACGCGGTGTAGGGTTGAAGCATTCCTACGAGTTCCTCTCTAATGCGGTCCCGCCGGCAAGAAACGACGGGGAAACCGTTGTCCCGGTCCCCGGGCGGACGGGAACGGGCCCCGAGGACGACACCCGGTCAATTGTTCGTCCCCACGGACGAATTGATTTGCAGGTGGGAGTCCGTGGGCGCGGTGAACGATCGACGGATCGATGCACGCTGCGCATACAACTGAACGGAATTAATTGCATCGCTAGCCGCGGAACATTCGAATGAGTTTTCATAGTCCAGCCGCGCGGTGCACCGAAGAACCTCGTGTTGTTTGGAATTTTTCACCTCTTGGCTGCGCGATCACGAATATACTCGTCGTGAAGGAATAGTAATTTTTAGGGGAAATGACAAGTATTTTCGTCACTAAGAAATAGCAATATTATTGATGTTTCGAAAAAAGACTAGTGTTCTTTTTTGTGTTTATGATGTTAATTGTGTTTTGGATCTTAAATATTACTTTTTTAATGATCTTTGATGTTCATTTATTTCAGTCTGATAAAAAGTAATGAGCCATGATAGAATGAAATGTATGTGCATGTTGATAGAAGATCGGCTGATCTTACAATTACACGTGTGATTTAATTATAAACTATTTATGTGCAATAACTGTACCGTATGACGAACGGGACTTGGTAAAGTGTATTACAAGATTTTTTTCAATTAAATGAAGCAGAAGAATCTAGTTGAACTTCGTCGAGATTCTACATCGCGTTTTAGACATTCCACTACAGTATTCTACTACAATAGAACTCGCAATCTATAGATAAGCGATCTACGGAACTTATCTTTCAAACCTGAATAACGAGTTTTTCTATAATCAATATCGGTCGTTCGTATTGTTCGATCCTTATCTTTATATAATTCAGTGAACACAAGGCTCTTAGATCGCTAATCCCATTATCAAGTTAGTAACTGGCACGTCGGGATTAAAATTCCGAAGAGAACTGCAATCACATCGAGACTTATGAAATTTCTTTCTAAAAAACGAAAAGAACTCCACATATAATAACTAGCACATCTTGCATTTGTGGAAAAATTCGAAAGTGCACAATTGGAATGCACACAATACAAAAAACTATACAAAATATCCAGAACCTAGCGCTCAGAATATCTATTAGAAACAACTACCTTCTCTCATAATACCTACTTTCCGAATTATATTTTCAAAACGTCAAATCAGCATAAGAATCTACAATCTAATAATTAAATTTATAAATCCCATTCGAAAACATGAAACACACCAAACCGGATTTGAAAATATCAAAAAATTTCTTACATAATACTTCAACGCAATAAATGTATATAATACATACAATATAACATATGTATATAACATAATACTCAAACGCAGTAAAACTAATCCTTTGAAAAATACTTTTTACCATATCATAAACAAAGTATCTCCAGAATTGGTCGCTAAAATGAGTGACCAGAGTTTCTCCAACCCGACGAACCTTTTAAACGAAGTTTAAACGACATTTGATGCTTGCGAGAATCCGTGACACGCTCTGTCTGAAAAAAGGAGGGAAAGAAACGCGGAAAATGAGATTAACCCGGAGACGACGACGGGCTGAGAAAGTCGCGGGTGAAATGTTAATTGACGTTGATTCCATTTTGCCCGGGCTCCTCTCGGGCCCATTGTGGCGCGCCGGAGGAGGACGGTCGTCCTTGTTCCTCGGCAGAAAAGTCGTGTAACGGAAGAGCAACAATAAGAACGGCCCCGCGAAATGTCTCACGCTGGATTCCCCGTAATGCTCATTGTTCGCCGCGCAACCTACGATCTTTCCCCGTGAATCGTATCAGGCCGTTTGATCGGGAACGAGCGGTTCCAGTGTTTTCTTCGGACCGACGAAAAATCGTCGCGTCGCAACCGGATGTCAACCTCCTAGGTCTTTGCGAGACACGATAATTCGCGTTTAGATGAGTCACCGTATGGGTAAAACCATATTAAACGTTATCAGTTGCGAATTTTATCGATCAGAACGCGATAATCGCTTAGAATTTGTGTTTAGGCACTTTGTGGAAGTTGAAAGCTTATGTATGGAATCTGTTTTCGAAGGAATTATTTTCTGATATTTTGATTGTTATAAATTCTATTAATCGTATGTTTATAGCGGGATATCGAAAATTTGAAGTTATTACGTTAATCCCTAGAAATGAATACTTAGAAATGAATACCTAGAAATACCTTTCAAAAATGTCACACTAAACCTTTAATTACTTGAATGATCCCTGATCCCTTCGAAATTCCCATCAATCACTCCGTTGTTTCACACTTTACTCCTGCAATTACTCGATGTTTCATCCGAAAGTATTAATCGCATCAGAATGTAGTGTCGAGCGAACGTAAAAACTGGAATTAGAGAAAGAAATTGTGTGGCGGATATTAATTCCTCGGCCTACAAGAAAGTGGCGAATGAAAATTTTACTGCTCGAGAAAATTCAATTAAGGAAAGGATCAATTAAGGTCTAGGATCCTGACGATCCAGAAGGCGGTGAGACTAATCCGATGGAATCCTCCTTCTTTGTGCTTGAGGCGTACACCAGGTTTCCACGTTTGCTAACTGCGGCCTATTCCAAGGATCGGTACTGGCCAAACATGGTCAGACGGCGTCGTGTCCCGGACACTTTTGTCTCTGCTTCTTCGTTTTTCGCGCGCCGAAAGATGCGCGCTCGTTATTTCTTCTAGGAAACGAGTGGGGATCGCGGAGCGATTCGCATTCCGGCCGGTTGCATTTCTCCAAACCAGATTCCACGGCTGGACGCGAAATAATAAAATACAAGGGGGATCTTTTCGTGAAACAAAAAATCGATTTCGTTCCATTCTTCGATGGAGTCCGCGGTGGATTATTACGTATACATAATACACCGGCGCGTAAACGCTAAATTAAGGACGGATTCAATATTCCATTGGAACTAGGGGAAACATTTATTAAAATAGTAAGCGCAAGGCTAACTGTTTATTCGCTGAAGAGTAGTTTGAAGTACCACTTTCGTTAAAGTACTCGTATAAATCGGATACGCATCGATTTCACTTGGAAAATTATATTAATTTAATTTAAAGTACTCTGTAGAAATTTATGGGCTAATTATTTGAAAAGAGAATTCCGAGGAATAATAAGAATTGTAGGAAAGATTTATACGTCAGCTGTTGATTCTCTTGAACCCTGTCTCTAATAACATATACGGATCCAAACGCCCGTAGCGATTAAATTGAATTAGTAGTAAAGTTGGATGCATAAAATGAATGAAATTTCTATTCAAAGTACTTGGGATTACGAGTAATAGTTAAATAGTTGAATACTTTTCGTGTAATGGCAGCACTTAAATTGAATAATACGTATCTATTAAAATTTCCATTAATTCGTATCTCACACTGCACGTTAATACGTCAAATCATTCAAAACTTTCTTAAAAAAGCGTGTGGATCTTTTCAACAAATTTTAAATAGATTATTCTACTTCGTTTGGCAGTTCTTGCGTTAAACGGTATTATTACTAGTCCAAGTCTTATTACTAGTCCGAGTTTTACTTACGACTATTTGGCAACTTCTCTATATCATAAATTACGCTCTGATTCCGCTGTCATTCGCCAAAAGAAAACTTCAATAATAATAACGCAATTCAATTGATTAATTAGTCACTATATTTTGTTCATTCTGTATATTTTACTCCGTAAAATCGTGCAGCATTCAACACGTTAAATATTTTTATCAGGTCGAAAACTTCGTTTTATACGCGTGTCAAGGGGTTACAGAGAGGATGCACGAGTCCCGAAAGAGGATCGATTAGGGGAATCGCCGGGGGGCCGGGTTCCGATCGGTTTTCGGTCCCCGTGGAAGCGGAACTCGCGGCGATCGGTCTCATTGTCTCCCGGGGCCCGAGGTGGCGAACCTCAGTTCTGCTCCAGTACTCATGGGAGTAACATCGCGCACTCCCGCGATCCTTCTTTTCTGTTGCTCCCAGCGGCCGGGCTCGTCGAGTTCTCCCAGCTCCGTTATACTCATCGTCCCCGGAAGACGAGCCCGCGAGCCGCGATCGTTCGGTCCACTGTCATTTTCATCGATCGGATGAAGCGCGGATGTCGCGTGACACCTACCGGTGTCCGTAGGATCGATAGACAATCTATCGGTCGAACAAGGTGACGGTCATGGTTCTTCCAGAACAAGTTGCTCATTAATAATTTCGCGTCACGGAGCTAGAAATCGATGGCATCGAGGAAGAAGGCTTCTTAAAGACTCTTCGCTCCTGGAAGTTTCGTCTTTAATAAAGGATTTGATTCGGTTTGGAATTCCAGTGGTTGGAACCTGGGATTTAAAGACGTTTCGTGTCTGGAAGTCTTGGTGTAGTTAGAAGATGTACTTTGCAATTCCGGTGGCTGGCATCTGTTACGCTAACTCCGTTGACAGTGAGCCAAGATTTTTACGCAACGATAATTGTGCCTCTGCTGTGTTCTTTCTGACTAATAACTGACGATTTTATGCAACCGGCGGTCGCGTGCCGGCAAAACGCTAAGTAACCGACAAGGACGTCGGAAACTGGTGGGAAACGCGCGAAAGTCGCGAGACTTGATCGAGATTGGAAACGAGCATCGGGGAAAAAACGATCGGCGCCGGTAAGAGCGAAGACTGAAAGCGGATTTATGAGGTTTGGCGATTGAAGAGGTCGTGGGAGTGTTCGGAAGTTTCGAGGAGTTTCTTTGCAAGAATGTATAGAGAGTTAAACTGTTAAAACAGAGGTGCCTTTTGATGATTTTTAACGGCAACAGTGGTAGTTTGCATTTCATTAGATGTTGGCTGAGTGTATCATAGCAGCGCGAATGATGAGAAAAGTAGACATTGCGAAAGGAGCGTAGGAATTTGTGCAGAGAGATTTAAAGATCTGCCGAGCGGAATGCAAGAATGTTGAGAATGTCTCGCAATGGAAACGGCGGAAAGCAAGTTTGATACCAAATCTGGAAGAAAGAGGGTAATCTTGGTCTAGAATCTAGTTGGCGAGAGACTGTGGCGGTTGCCCATAAAAAGGGATCGGACTTCGGTGAAACGAGTGACCCGATAGAGACGCGAGATCCTCTGAAAGTTTCCAGAAACTTCGCCGGGAAATAGCAATATCGGGGTGAATTTGTAGAACAGAGAATAACATTCATCTTTCGGAAGCAAGGAAACCTTTCTGAAGATTGAAAGAGCCCTGAGCCAAATTTTGGTAATCCGATGATCGATCTTGTTCATCTGAAATCCGTTTAAGTCACGCCGGAATCTTCGGATCGCTTCGTAATCCTGGATTAAAGTTTGTCAATCCTCGGAGCTGATAGTCTATTAGTCTATAGTCGATAACATAGAAATCCGCGCAAATTTCTCTGGACACTTAAGATTGATTTTCTGAACAGAATCTCTACCTTCTTCTAAAGGCTTGAGGGGTTTACGAAAGAACTGTGGCAAGTTTGTGATCGGAAGATTCATCGTGATCACTTAGAATCCATTAAAACTCTCTTAAATCTTGTAAGACACTTATCATTTCTTTCCAAAAATTATAATCACTATCGAGTTTTAACCTCGATTCACAGCTTTCCTCAGAACAAAATCCTCAAAACAAAGTCTAAACGACCTATGAACAGAAAATTCGAAGCACCAATTTTCTATATACATTCTATGTAACTTCTCTATAAAAATGTAGCCACTGCCAAGTTTTAATCTTGACCCACAGTTTTTCTCAGAACAGAATCCCCAAAACAAAGCCTAAACGACCTACAAAACAGAAAATCCAAGGAACCAATTTTCAAGCAACTATACCGGATCCAGAAGGATAATTAGCAGAAGGAATCTATCGCGACCTGGATACGCTGCCGCGGACGGCGTCGGAAGGTCTCAACCTTGAACTACAGCTTTCCTCGGGTCCAGCCGTGGCCCCCGGTGATCGAGGCTGCGAAGCCCGGCCGTGATCGGCGTGGCTCGGCCGTTGCAAAAGTATCCTCGGGCGAGGATGAACGCGCGGCCCTGCGCGCCTCCGTGATAACTGATAAATGTATACCGGTCTTGCGGTACCCAGCAAGAGAATGCGGTTACAAACACCGATGAAAAAAAAGGAGGAACAGGCCGCCGGTAGATCTTTAATGGTCGTCGATACTTTCGTTTAGAAAGCGCTCGGCCGTGTCAGTTGGACAGGGATTCGCGACCGCGGTGCATCGTCCTAGCGGAACTGTCCCACGGAAACGCATCCGAAAACTCGACCGTGAGTCCTTCGAGGATCACAGGAAGCCTGTTCGTTGTTCAGACATGTAAACATCCGCGACATGTTCGCGGCCCGCGAAGAAACGTCAACCTTGACGGGAGAAAGTTTTTGCCGCATGAATGAGTAAGTTTTTGCTCCGGTGTTTCCGATTCTTCGGCGTTTCTTCGTCCTTTTTTGGTTGCTTTTCACGTGTCTTCGTTCGAAGACATATTCGAATGACGCGCGACGAAGGTATAAATGACTGATGGGAGAAATGCCTGGGAAACGTCGCGGATCGCCGGCTCGATTTTATTTTCTAAAGGATCGTCTGAGATGATTCTTGTTTCGGTCTATTTAGTGCCGCGAACGGGACACCGTGTATCTTATCCGCGCGTCGCCACAGAGGAATATTTATGCGATGGTTCGATAAGGTGGAAGTTATGTTAATGTCGCACCGGTTCCACCGTATCCGATGACCCACTTCGAAATGACAACGCACGAACAGCTGTTTTGCGCCGTATCAGCACTCGCTATAATCCTTTTCCCATAGTCCGCTTCTAGAAAGTTTTGCTGTACAGTTTGCACAGCACCCGCCGCGAATGGGAACGTTAAACTTCGGGGATCAGGGGAATTCAGGTGAGATCTTTCAGCCGAAATTCGGCCGATCACGCGCGAGGAATGATGCCGCGGGGTTTAGCGTAACGTCACACTGGAATTGAACCTTTGAAATCACCTGGGACGTGTCCTGCTGCTTGATTCGGACCCATTGCTTTGTAACGGTCGTGAGAATCTGTAACGGATCGCTGTTGGGGATCAAGTTATTCGAGAATTATCGTTTCATTTGTGTATTAGAATAATTCGTTTATTGATGAATCCAGAATGGAGTCAAATGTTTTTAGGTTTAATTCAAGCTTCTCAAGTTTATTATTTAAATTCAAACGATGGAATATTTTCATTAAATTATTCTTTGTGTTTCTTTGAAACGAGGAAGAAATTGTAGATAATCCTCTTAATATTAATCCTACATATGTATCCGACTTTGTCCCTAATTGCCATATCCTTGAAGTCTAGGGAAGCAAATGTAATTTGCCGAATGTAAAAGTAATTTATTACGCTTGTTAATATTCCCTGAAGTGTAAGAGGATCGCAAACTATGTAGATAATATTAGCCTAGAGTCAAACTGCATATTAGCCTGCGGCGCTTTCTCAGTTCCCTAAAGCTGGATATCGTAATATTCTGCCAATAAAATGGAAATTGCAAAATGTACTTTAAAATGTCACGGCGGTGATAATTTAGTGTTTGAGTGCTGGGGAAGCCTTTTCATTAATAATTCAGGGAGACATCGAATATACAGACGCAGGAAACATTTATATGAGGGAAAGACTTATAAAAGGATATAGTGATACATTAGCAACACCTAACTACACTGCATTACATGCAATTTACGTAGCTAAGAAGTTAAACGTGTCCATTTCCGCTCAAAACTTTGGAGTACCATATGATTTTAACGCAAATAAAATATTTCTACGCTCGAAAAGCATATAATCCTATAAAATATTATTCTGTCACAGTAACAGATAACACTTTCAAAAGTAGCGTCTATTATTGTTTATTTGCCGTTTTCGATTTATAAGAAAATAATGCTATATACATGATGATAATGATAAACAAAGTAATGCGACAACCGAGATCGAAGTGTCAAGGAGTGCTCCAAATTTTTTAACGGTAATATAAACAGTTTTACGTACATGGGTCAACCGGTACAAGCGAAATATGTTTGCAGGAGTGGAAAATGCAGCTGCCAGCTCGGGCCTGGCCGTGGCCCGTCCGAAAGAAGAGGCGAACGCGATGGAAACGGTCCGTGACTTCGTCGAAAAGATCGTGGAGGGTTTGATCGGCAAAGTGGACGACGCGCCGATCGATCGGCTATACGATCATCCAGCATGTAAGTTAAAAAGTATGACTTGTTCGCAACATTTACGCTCTTCCACCAGTCGTTTAAATTTTGAGCGAATCGAGCAAGGAAAAGGAGAAAAAGTTTGACATTGAAATCGAAATCGCATCCGTTGATCTCAAAGAATTCGATTGCGTTTAACCCTTTGTGTCTCAAATGATATTTTTTTACTATTTATCCTTACCTTCACTCCAAATAGTACTTTCTCACAGAATTTTATTCTAAATTAGTTTCCTAACAACATTTACCAAATATCATCTAATAATTTGCAAGAAAGAAACGGATTAACAGACTCTACAATCACTTAGAATATTCAGAATTTCTATATTTCCCTTAACAGTATCTCGTTCACAATCCTCTGATAGACCTACATAAATGTCCATTTCCCACAGAAAGAATTTGTGCGATTTGAAATATCGAGTTTTCGACGACCGCACACATTTTCCCACTCAACAGCTGGAATTAAATGTAGGAAGGAATATTTCTCGAAAGTTATTAGGGCGTAAAACCAAGCGTCAAATTAAATTCAGTGGAACTGCTTAAAAAGTCTAAGTGCATTTAATTTACGGCAACGTTTCATTGCGAAGACATGAAGGGTTAAACGATACGAGTACCTACTTATGTACACCCGACAAAACCATCAGAGCGTGTCGCCTCCGTTCACCAACAAATGCTGCCATCTGCTGAAGAGCCGCGGACACCGCGAGGAACCGCGCTCACGCTAATCCCTTCCCCGATATCGCGCCGACATCGTTTCCGCTATCTGTTACCCACTTAACTCCCGACGTTCTCGATTACCGGTTGTTATTTTTTCTCTACGCCTTCGGTTACTCTACGAAACACGAGGTTTACCACCCAGCAATTAACTCTCGGCCGTGCTGAGATGGCTTCTTCGACACTCTGGAAACAGCTGGCAGAAAAAAAACGGTATAAGATTATAATTACCGGAGCGTGGATATTAATTGATAATTTATGGGAATAAGGGTCAAAGTAATTTTTTCCTAGCATTAAAGATTTTTGTTGTATCACACGTGGAAGGAGTTAATGAAATGTAACTGGGGCTCGTAGTTCACTCCGGAATGTCGTATCTGTCGCGGAAGATGGGAATTATGTAGAGATCAACGAGTGAGCGGAATGTTGAAATTAGTTTATAGCATGCCGTATTGTTAGGGAACGTCGGAGAAGCTATCTGGAGTTTGAGAATGAAATTGTATTGTTCTGTGCTGTCCACTAACTACTCGACTAACGCTAATTAACAGATAACAAGCTTTTGGAAAAGCATATTGTTCCCCTGGTCGACGCGCTCACTCGTATGGCCGTGGTGCTGCGATTGTCTTTGTCAAGTAAGTAACTTCTAACGCGATAACAGAATAATTCGGTCAGATTTCTGTTAATATTTGAGACTTTCGCAAGCTTTACAAGTATTTCTAGTATCAAATTTAAAGATCCTTAAATATTTGAACGAAAATTTTCATGACCGAAAACATTATTTTTTAATTATCGTGCACCTTTCGTACAGCCGTGTAACACTGGTTGCTTGTTCCAGGCGCTTTCCGCTTTGCTATTCGTTCTCCTTATAATCATTGTAAGAAAAGATATTGCGACACAAATTGAAATTGAAACAGTACATCAATCTTTGCCTGCAAAAGTAAATAAGATTATGTAACATATCCTTATCTTGCGTCTTTGAAGTTCTTTTCACTCTATCCGTCAAACAGGAAACCCTTCGTGAAATATAATTTACTAATTGCAAGAAATAAACTGTCATAAACATAGGAAAGCAGTAAATCTTATATATCATTCGATTCATAAATAACTCTACCAGAGAAAAATCCGAAAACAAATATTTTTTTAACTGCCGAACTCTTATTTCGGATAAATATCATATAGAGATAAGATACGGCCTACAGGTTGCTTCAAAACTACTCGATTGATACTCGAGAAACAAACTGAATAAAAACAAGCCTACTGCAACACAACTGATATTTCACTGAATACAAGCAAATTAATTGTTTCACTCGGATTGCTGAAAACATTCGAGCAAATTAATTGTTTCACGCAATTTGCTGAAAATATTCGAGCAAATTAGAAAAAACCTCTTTCCGCTACCGATCTCCGGTGACCCAGCAAATTATCGAGGCCAACAGACATCGATCCTCGAATCAAAACCGCTAAGACGTCCGTCAAAGCTGATTAGAGCATCGCTAGACCAGCTAAACGGTCCTGCATTCTCTCTCCGGCGGCAATTCAATTATATTCGAACAGCTCGAGGGTTGCGCAACACGCCGCGCAGAAATCATAATTGTCACTGACAGCTCCGCAGTCAGAACTGGCTGTTTATTTACCTTCCCACGGAAAAGAGAAATCTATCTGCCGCGGAAAAGTGTCAATCGGAGCGCGGACCACCTCGCTGAAAGTTCACGAACCCGCGATTCCCACACAGCCAAAAGAATTTCCTGAACAATATAATTAAGACCGGCTTCAGTCATGGGAATCGACTATTATGCCGGGCATAAACACAAAAAACAGAAACCACCAAGTATTTGATAAACACAGTCAATCCTCAAATAAGGCGGTTAATTGGCTACATTATTGTTATTCAAAATAGCGTCATAGGAGAATTAGAAGTCATAGAAATGTAACGATAGTATTTTAACACTACAACTACCTGACAGGTCAAATAGACCTATTTCAGAGTTTTGATTTCACAAGTGTTTAAACTATGAAGGCGTTTTTGCAAAAGGTTTTTAATTAAATTTTTGTGTTTGTATAGACATGGGACTACAAGGTCTTTGAATCTCAAGAAACGTATTATTCTAATTTTTACAAATAATTGGAAATTAGTCAACTGAACCGTGCAATTGAAATTCAAGTTATATGTAATAATAATAATGACGATGAATTTTATTGAGAGAAACTTTTTGATATAGCAGAGATAACTATTTCTGTGTTTCGAGAAAAATATTTGTTATGAAACGTTTGTGGATTAATGAAATACTAATACTACAGTGTTATGAATGATATTAATTATTTTGAATTATTGATATTAGTATATAATTAATCCAAGAACATTTCACAGAAGCTTCTTTTTCTCGAGAAGTCAGAAATAAGAGTTAGACGATTACTATTCCGAGCCATTCATATTTTTGACTGTGTTATTTGAGAGTCAAGTAATTCATTCAATTCGTTTCACGGTCGAAGTTGCTGTTTCATCGATATAAATTCGGGTGGCGAGAAAAAAGTTCGGGGTGGATGACTTGTGATTATTTTAAATAACCTGGAGAGAGTATTTTGAGAGGATAATTTGTTATTATTATTATTTTGGGGGTTTTATTAAAGGATGATTGGAATCTGGCACTTTGGTTACATTGTTGCATGAAACTAATAAAAGGGTGCTTTAAAATTTGACAGGAGAGAATGAAACACGAGTTAATCCTTTTTGGGATTTCTTTGATTGCGGTGTTTGTAAAAGCTGCTTCACTTTGATGCAACCGCCATATTGAAAAGGAAAGAAGACTTTTTGATAATGTTCTATATTAGAAAGTGATGAAAGAATTTCTCTTATGATTTTAAGTTGAGTTCTGTAGAAGTTACCAGTATCCGCCATTTGTATTTGAAAGGTCGCATCTGATAATTTGCTAAGGCATATGAAACATGCAAAATGTTGCATAGGAAGGATATACATATTTGCATGAGGAAGTGATCGTTGTACCGAAGACGCACATAAAATTTGCTTAGATCATTAATTAAATATGCGAAACATCCATTTATTCAATGAAGACACGTGTCACTGTATTTACATGGATAGCAGTAGAAAAATGCGTTGACAAAAAGCTAAGATATATATGGGAAAAATTCGAATTGAATATTAAAGTATCCATTTCCTTTGTCTTCTCTGGACGCTCGGTAATTTTCTATTTTATTCAAACAAAATGCAATAAAGAAAATTGCTGCCGGATGAATAACTGAACAAATATTACGAAACTATGTTATTATAGATGATTCACAAATTTCAGGAGCGTGCGGCGTTTCGTAAGATGATTGAATAAAAATGAAGATTGCTTGATGTTTTGCTTTGATTTGATGATTCCTTTCATATTATGAAAGAACACTCATAAACCCGATTTATCTTTTTCTTACGTTTCATCTGCAATGTTTTCAAGATTATTCTGGATTCTAATTAGAAAATTCATTAAAGTGGAACTCGATGCGAGGTAAATCGTTAATTATTCCTGTTCGAACTCAGAAAACCGATCTTAGAAATCACCAAAGATAAAATGCGATTACTTAACTGTTAATTACAAAATACCAATTATTATAATACTATATTTATAATATTAGTCATTCTAAATTAAAAGATCATTATTATTAAAAAAAGGTATTGTAACATTAATTATTCTAAATTAAAAGATTCTTATTATTAAGAAAGTATTATAATATTAATCTTTGTAAATGAAAAGATTATTACCATTCAAAAACTATTACAATATTAATCATTACAATACTTTAGATAATTTTAAACATCCATCGCCAATAAAATTTAACGATTTCCGACGTTACGGTAACTGCAAAATGAGTCATCCGCGTTTTATCCATCGAAGGACGGTGCTGTCCAGTAACAATGGAGGATGCAGTTATCCGAGGACAATAATCTCGAACTAGGCACACTTGACTCGTCTGTCGTTTACGTAAGAAGTGAGTCAGTCGAAATTCAAAGGAATATTTGCCTTATCATTATTCCAAAACGGAACATGACTGTTCGTTTCATCTGAGAAATGCGATCGACGAGGGATATTACTTGAATTAATTATGTATTCGGCGTTCTGTTTACCCGACAGCTTATTTTGGAACACCGAATTTTCCGTCTGCTGAGCACCATTTTCTTTCATGCCTATTGTATTCGGAACACACACGGCTGGAAAAGAACGCGTCATTCGCAGTATAATCGCGTGACCTTCAGACACGCTGTTTTATGATAAGCTTGCAAATTTTACTTGTTTCTTCTGCTCCGCTATTTTTAACATTTGATTTTCATTTGAAACACTTCGACGCAAGAAAACGGTTTCCTTTTAGCATGATCGTAGGTGCCGACACTTTCCTTTTAGCATGATCGTACTCGACGATCTACTCGAAGAATGGAGTTGTGCGTTATTGAGATAAAATTAAGTTATTTTATGAGATTATATAAAGTATAAGGGAACAGTAGAAAATTACAAAAGGATAAAAAGTTTCGTTTGAAGGTGTTATTTTTTCTTTTTAATATCTTGCATTAAATTTGAAGTAATGTGGAGAATATCTCATTTCTTACGATTTTTTAATCTTAATCTCATAATATGCGTACAATAGAAGGAATATTGACTAGGATTGTGTTATATGTGAATATAATACTTTATTGTTTAACGTTTCTTTTAGACATTTCACGTGATCACAAACGAAACATCAATAAAACCCTCGTTACGGGTTTTTATTTTATATTTCACGCACACTTACACGTCGTAAAATCCAATCTAATCATCATATAGTTATAGAGAACGATCCACGTGGATAGGATCAACTAAATTATAAAACCTGTTGAAAGCATAATAAACTTCTTTTTGTGTGCCAATAATAGGTGAGGATATTTACGTAATCCCATTTATATATAACTGTGTAGCATGCATACACGTCAATGGTTTAGTATGACAGTAACAATCTTGATAATAATGTTAATAGCAAAATCCCGCAGCAATAGGCCTCAGTATTTATTCAATTTTAAACGAAATCTAATTGCTAATTATGAAAGTATTGACAAGCCGATTATAAACGTTCAAATTGATCTATTTAATACCTGTATTATATATTATTGCCATATCCACGATATCAGATAACTGCCATGAAAATTAAAATGAAAAATATAATGAAGACAATGAATTCTATATAGAAGAAATCATTTAGTTTTTGATCATATTCTTTAATAACAACGACACAATTATCAACGTGCGAAATAATAAAGCAATTCAAGCCAGGATAAGAAATTGTCCGGACAATTTGCTTGCGATAAATATTAATCGCGCATAAGCCTGCAGCACTTTGCATAGAATGACGCTGCTCGTTTCGCCGTTTATTGCAATCGATCCCGTCGCCGGTGTATTTCAATCGAATTCAAATCGAAGCGGTCCCTCGACCGAACGGGAAACACCACGAACATTAACCTTTCCTGACAGGTTAATTAATTTAAGTCTTCGAAATCGGTGTCGCCGCTATGACAGTATAATCTTATTCTTTAATACTAGAACTACCGAGCATTTAATACGATTAATATGCAATTCTCATAAAAATTGTAACAATAGATTATTTTCAATTT